TTGCATGCCTGCAGGTCGACTCTAGAGGATCCCCATTCGAATAATTGACTTTCCATGTTACTAAATTGTGTTTTAAACACTTTAAACTATCTATATGCATGTAAAAATCACAAAAACAAATGTGCCCCTCACCATACCGGCCGCCGAGGACAACGAATTCAAAGCAGCCAAGTGCCAAAAATTGACATTTTTTGGCACAAATTGTGTGAGCATGATTTCCCCCGGGGTATTGATAATTTTCTATAGTAAATCAAACGTGCTGAATTCAATGGTCATAATGAAAAAAAGTTAATTTGGGATTTTTGAGATATTGAAAAAATTATCGGTTTTTTCAAAAAATCAATAATCCAATCAATGAGAGAAAAATCAAAAAAAATTTTCCAAAAGATCAATAAATTGTCTACTTATGGTTTTTTTAAATCTGAACAAACGAACAAAAACAGACAAAGCTATGATTTTTTGAAAATATAGCCATTTTTTGGTACGTTTTGGGCCATAACTCCCCAAAAAAAATTTTATCAACTATTCCTTTTGGATTCTAAAATAACTTTTTACGCTCTTCCCAACCATATAGGTCTCAATTTTTTCAAGGGTAACACTTGGAAGTCATTCCATGTAAATGAAAAAAAAAGATATAGCGATTGATTTTATAAAGTTGGCTTTTTGCTTTTTTTGAAGGGAAGGTTTTTGGGAGGAAGGCTTTTTGTTGGTACTTTTAGAAGTGTTTGAAGCAACTGAACTTGATTCTGAAGTAAAAGAAGCTGATCGAGCACGCTGAACTGAACCGCGAACTGTCCCTCTTCCGCGAGCTCTGGCACGTAGGGTTCCTCTTCCTCGACCTCTCCCAGCTGATGATGTCGGGGCTGGACCATGGCTTGTTCCAGGATCTGGACCGAGAATTGGCGATGCGTTTCCTGAATTTTGTTGAACGTTGAGTCCTGCAGCATTTGTTCCACGAGCAGTGGAAGGCCCTCTGCCACGATGCGATCCACGGCATCCACCCCGAGACGATCCAGGGATTCCACATAAGAGACAATGAAAGGCACTGTTCTAGAATCACGGAACGAAAAAATCACGGCACGAAATAAAATCAAGGAACGAAAAAAAAAATCACGGAATGAAAAAAATCACGGAACGAAAAATCACGGAACGAAAAAATCACGGCACGAAATAAAATCACGGAACGAAAGTTTTGGGTAGTTCGAAAGTTGCTACGACCCATCCAAGTACTATCCTGAAATGTTATCTTGACATCACTTTTTCTTCGATTGATAGTCAAAAAGATAAGGTACATAGCTAGTTGGGTACACATGACCTTTTCCAGAAGATCTGAGGATCATGGGCACATCTATGAACAAGATTCGAAGCTGAAACGAGTAGTCTTATTGAACTTGCAGCCACTTTTCGGATGTCCACATGAAGGAAAAATGGTGCTTCAGCCTAAGCCTATAATTGAAAAAAAATCTTTTCTAATTCAAAATCTACTTCTTACTAAGGAAACTTTTCTGTGTGTGTGTCCGTCTCGGACATTTACTTGAATAACTCAAAAGGGCATGGGACTCCTATAGTGGTGAGCGCTTCATGTCTATGGTGTCCTGGGCCTTCTAGCTTATAGGGAAGCTACAGTGTTGAGAATCGAAAATTTCAAAATTATGCTCAAACTCAATAAAACTTCACGAAATTATGCAAAACGGTTTTTTGGCCTATCTATGTGTTATCTATGTGTGTTGCCTACATAAAATTGAGCACAAATCTTCAGAACTGAAGAATTTCGAAAATTTCGTTTCTTTTGTATATCACTTGAATTTCGATCCTGTGGACTACTGGAAATGGGTCATAGTAGTTTCCTTTTGAATACAAGGTTCTTAAGTTATGCGGAAAATTCTAGAACATTCTAGAAAATTCCAGTAAATTCCAGAAAGATCCAGAACATTCTAGAAAATTTCAGTAATTCCAGAAAGATCCAGAACATTCTTGAAAATTCCAGTAAATTCCAGAAAGATCCAGAACATTCCAGAAAATTCCAGTAAATTCCAGAAAATTCCAGTAAATTCCAGAAAATCCCAGGGAGTTCCAGAACATTCTAGAAAATTCCAGTAAATTCCAAAAAGATCCAGAACATTCTTGAAAATTCCAGTAAATTCCAGAAAGATCCAGAACATTCTAGAAAATTCCAGTAAATTCCAGTAAATTCCAGTAAATTCCAGAAAATTCCAGTAAATTCCAGAAAATCCCAGGAAGTTCCAGAACATTCTAGAAAATTCCAGTAAATTCCAGTAAATTCCAGAAAGATCCAGAACATTCTAGAAAATTCCAGAAAATCCTAGGAAGTTCCAGAACATTCTAGAAAATTCCAGTAAATTCCAGAAAGATCCAGAACATTCTTGAAAATTCCAGTAAATTCCAGAAAGATCCAGAACATTCCAGAAAATTCTAGAAAGTTCCATAGAATTCTAGAAAAGTCCTGAAACTTCCAGAAAGATCCAGAACATCTCAGAAAATTCCAGAAAATCCTAGGAAGTTCCAGAACATTCTAGAAAATTCCAGTAAATTCCAGAAAGATCTAGAACATTCTAGAAAATTCCAGAAAATCCTATGAAGTTCCAGAACATTCTAGAAATTTCCTGAAACTTCCAGAAAGATCCAGAACATCTCAGAAAATTCCAGAAAATTCTAGAAAGTTCCATAGAATTCTAGAAAAGTCCTGAAACTTCCAGAAAGATCCAGAACATCTTAGAAAATTCCAGAAAATCCTATGAAGTTCCAGAACATTCTAGAAAATTCCAGAAAATTCCAGAAAGATCCAGAACATTCTAGAAAATTCGAGTAAATTCCAGAAAGATCCAGAACATTCTAGAAAATTCCAGAAAATCCCAGAAAATTCCAGAACATTCTAGAAAATTCCAGAAAATTCCATAATATTCTATAAAATTCCAGTAAATTCCAGAAAATTTCAGAAAATTCCAGAAAATTCCAGAAAATTCCAGAACATTCTAGAAAATTTCAGAAAATTCCAGAACATTCTATAAAATTCCAGTATATACCAGAAAATTTCAGAACATTCTAGCAATTTAAGGGGTAAAAAATCCGCAATTCGGGGGCACAATATACTGAAAAAGGGTCAGTTTTGTACTCCCAAACTGTGAGTTTTGTTCCCCTTTGTACCCCCGAATTGTTGTACCCTCCAAACGTTTTGCCTGAAAAAAAAGGTGAAGCGTTCTCTATAAGTATACAGGTATTGTAATCACTTCCCTAATTTTTCAAGGTTATCTGAAACCAAAGGCTTAGAATTAGGGCTGTGTGTGGGTTTTTTTAATATCTGAATTTCAGAAACCCTAACAATCTGTAATCGGAAAATCCAGGAACATTCTAGAAAAAACAAGAGATTCTACATGTGGGCATCTATTCGAGAAAGTACGGTATTCAAAAATTCCGATATCGGGAAAATAAAACATTTGAAAATGAAGAAACTCGGAAATTTCGGACACACGGAAAGTGGGAATTTCTGAAATTAGGAATTCAAATGTAAGATAAAGTAAACAAAACCCAGGAGGTTGAGCCCCCGGCAGGGGGCTCAAATCGACTGGTAAGTCTTATTGGAACAAAAACTTGGTCCTTAATAAGAATAGTTTTGGGTCAATTTGAGTAGAAATCTTGGCATGAAATTGCTCTCCTCGGATTTTTCATTTTTCAAAAATTGTATGGGGTTTTTGGATTGAGGAAGCTTTTTTCAGCCGCTTAGGCTGAAACGCCATGTTTCTTTTATCTGGAACACCCGAAAATATCAGCAAGCTCAATAACTGCTCGATGTAGCCTTGGACTATATTTTTAAATGTTCTAAAGATCCTATGTAACCTGTTGACTAGCATAACTTAAGAACTTGATATACCATTTTTTAGTATACTTTTGGGTATTGGACAAAGTAAAATTGATGTCAAAGTTAGTATTACGGATACTACTTGTCAATGTAACGAAGTTAGCAATTTTCTGGATAACCCAAAATTTTCGTTCCGTGATTTTTTTTTTCGTTCCGTGATTTTTCGTTACGTGATTTTTTTTTCGTTCCGTGATTTTTTTTCTCGTTCCGTGATTCTAGAACAGTGCCCAACGAAGATGAAAAAAATTTGTTCCGTGATTTTATTTTTCGTTCCGTGATTCTAGAAGATTGCCGAAACTGGCTCCGAACAATAAAAGTGCTAGCCTCTAAGTGGATGCCACCCCCTAATACAGTGCCACCCCTGACACCTCCGAACAATAGAGTGCCATGGCTATCTAATAGAGGTTTTACGGTAATTGCTAATTTTAATGTTGGAAATTTTGAATTTTCTAACTAATTTTGATTTTTTTTTCTGTGAATTTCTATTTTTTTTTAAATTTCCATCATTATTGACTTTCTCAAAAAAAAGTTGTTTTTTTTTAAATAATTTCATGATCTGTGCTTCTAAAAAACACTCCAATTATGTTTTTCTCTCTCTCTTACTCATGGATTTTTTTACCTAATTTGAGTTTGTTATCAGCAAAGAAAATGTAATTATCTCTCCACATTATTTTTTCCCATGTTTTTCTCATTCATACATTTATGGAAACGACAACTTCCAACTACCAAAAAGAAACAAAATTATTTCCAAATTCTGATGATTTTTCGAAATTAAAGTTTTATAATCTGATGTTAGAGCTAGAAAAGTTCGCACGACCAAGTCTTCAGTTTCAGTACTTTTTATCAATTTTTGGAATAGTGTTGACAATATTACATTTGGTTATACTGACTAGAAAAGGAATGATGATGTCCTCAATTATCGCAATTATGATTGGAATTGGAATTTGTGATTTAATTGCAATGATTGCCACAATACAGTCGGTTGACTTCTTTTTCGATGAGGAGGGAACGGATTGGTAAGAGAGTTTTAAGCCTTTTCAAAAATGTATAAATTGTGAAAATCAGTGTTTCAGTGATTCAAAAATTCGAATTTCTGAGATTATAAGATTTTTGGATTCCTTTTATATTCTGAGATTCTAAAATTCTGATATTATGAAATTCTGCGATTCTGAAGTTCTAAGATTCCCAATTTCTGGGATCCTGAGATTCTAAGATTTCGAGATTCTGAGATTCTGATGTTCTGAGAATCTGAGATTCTGAAATTCTAAAGTTCTGAAGCTCTGAAACTCTGAAATTCTGAAATTCTGAAATTCTGAAATTCTAAAATTCTGAAATTCTGAAATTCTGAGATTTTGAGATTTTGAGATTCTAAGATCCTGAGATTCTATAATTTTGATATTCTGAAATTCTGGAATTGTTTTGAAATTAGGAAGTTCTGAATTCCTGAAATCCTTCAATTGTGAATTTATGAAATTCTGAAATTCTGCGATTCTGAAATTTCGAGATTTAGAACTTGTGAACTTCTGAATTTCTCAATTATAAAATCTCATAATCTCAGGAATTCAGAAATTCAGAAAATCAGAAATTTTCATATTTTCAGATTCTTAGATTCTTTTTTTCTTTTTTTTTAGATTTTTACATTCTGAAATTTGAACATTTCCAGATTCTGAAACTCTGAAATTCTGGAATTTGGAAATTAAAAAAACGGAAAAATTGAAAATCTGAAATTCCAGCACACCTCCAATTTCATATTTCATCTATAAATCTTCGTGGGTTTTTGTGGTAATCCGTGATTTTGTCCGTCGATCTTCTACATGGCTGGCCGTAATGATGGCTCTAATCAGATTCGTTTTCATCAAATTTGGCGCCAGTTTGAAATTTCAAAAATGCTCAAAACCAATTTTTGGCTTTTATATGATAGGTGTCTGTTTTGTTATCAGTGCATTTTTGTCATCTTTATATTATTTTCGATATGATATAGTGGAAAATGGAATATGGACTCCAAAGAATTTGTGAGTTTGGTTTAGTTGATTTTTCTCTTATGAATTTAAAAATTCAGCTGCTCAAATGTTCCTTCAAACACTCAATATACAATTCATACACAAAAGCGCTCTTATCTTTTTACAATGAGCAATGAGGTTTTCGGAAAATCCTATATGCTTATCAATGGGATCATATCAAAGGTGCACTTTTAGAAAATTGTCTCAAAAATGTTTTAGTAAAAATTCAGATCATTCCTTGTATTCTACTTCCATTGCTCACATTTTTACTAGTTTTGGAGCTTCGGAGAGCTGAAATAATTAGGAAGACTTCAAATTTCACTAAACGATCTGAAAATAATGGAACTGAAAAAACCACTGGGCTTGTGATTTTTATGACCGTCTCGTTTTTTGTTCTAGAACTTCCGATCGGAATTTCTTGGTGTTTTCAAGTGGCTTACACTGATTTGGGATTTTTGTGAGGCTCAAAAAATTTGAAATTTCAATTGGAAGTTTCAAGGATTTTCAGATACCTCGCCACCTATTTGAACCACTTGTGTAATTCGATTTTCATTATAAATGCTACTTTTCATGGAATTGTGTGTTTTATGATGTCAAGTCAGTATCGTGCAACAGTTTGGAAGATTTTGAGATTGAATGTGAGAAAGAAAAAAAAAGTCGATATTGTATTTTTCTTTTCAGAAAGATCAACCAGCGACCTCAAATAGTACGCAATTGTCAAGAGTGGAAAACATTTGATAACATAAATCGAGAATAATTGTTTGCTTTTACCAATTTTTTTCCAATTTTTCAATTTTTTTTTGAAATTTGATTTTTTAATTCAGTTTTTCAATTTCTCTACATAAACTATTTTTCCAAAAATGTGTTTGAAAACCAAAAACCTATTTTTCCATGACGTTGCACTGTCATAAACCCCATAGAATCTTCTTACAGACAGATCATGTAAAAATATTTTTCAGGCAATGCACCGGATGTTTTCAGATAAATTCTGACACATATATTGAAGCTTTCAGATAAGAGTACCACATGTTTTCAAATAGATCATCAAAAACTAATAAGATATCATTTTTTCAGAGAAAAAGTTTTTCAGAACAATTTTTAAATTTCCATTGATTTCCAGAAATTTTGAAAAATATGTCCTCCTCTGAAACATCTCTTTTACCGTTTATGGCTCTTGCAAAACATGTGGCTTTTTCCGGATTTTCTTCTACAACTCTATTTTGCTCACTTCTGATTTATTTGACCATTTTTGTGGTTTTTATCCTTTTATACTGGAATTTATGCAAGAACAATTTCACTATTATCCGTACAGTTTTTATACAGATATTGGGCGATTTTTGAGTTGGTATTAAAACGATAGAATTTTTTTTAAACTTGGCTTTCAGCGAAAAAATGTTGCGATTGTTCAAAGGTTGGAGATTTTTGTTTTGTTTTATGTACGTCTCATTTTTTGGAATAGTATGGGCATTGGGCGTTTATTATTTTGTGAAAATTGATGATTATGCTATTAGTTACATGGGGTAGTAGTTATTTAATTTTTTGGTTTCTTGACTTTGAAAAAGTTTATCCAAAAGTTTCTCAAATTTTCCGGACCAGAGCTCCTGGAAAAATACAATGTCTCAATTTCGGAGCTCTCCGGAATGATTCAAGTGGCCTATGACGATGACGGAAATTTACGATGGTGGAATGTATTTTGTACAATAAATATGACATCAATCATGACAATAAAGTATACCGTAATACTGTACTGCGCATATTTTATGTACGCCGAAATGGAGGAAAAACTTCAAATGCTCTCAGTTTCTCTGCGAAATTTGCATAAGCAATTTTTCAAAACCTTACTTCTCCAAATATTCCTACCAACCACTTTTTGACATGAAATTGAGTTTGCCAACTGGTTTTTTTCTTTGCGCTTTTACCTTATATATAGCAATGGATGCAATTATTGTCATGTATATTGTACAGGATTATCAGATAGCTGTTAAAAGTAAATTTGTATTAAATGATGTTATAATTCTATTTTTTTAGAAATTCTCGTTTTTATATCAGAAAAGTGTTACAAACTATTGAATGCCGGGCCTCATAATAATACAGTGCATACAAGAACGGCTAATACTGGAATTGCGACCGCATAGCTCATCCGGTAGCAACGTTGCACTATTCAATAATTGGCGAACAAGTTCAATTTTCGAATTTCTGTTTTCTCTAAATTCTCATACCCGGAAGTACAGGAACTATACTATTCTCATTGAAAACGGTTTGTTTTCAACTATAGCTTCTTATCAAACTAATTACAATTCTTTGACCAAGAAATTAGAAGTAAAAACCAGTTTTTCTATCTATTTACATCTTAACTAATTTAGGAGAGGGACTGCTGCCCACAAAATCAGTATCACTTTTTTCTTTTTTATTTGCAAAAAAAAAAGAAAAAAAAATGAATATCCATCGAAAAGATCTTCTACCTCCGAAATTTTTATGCATTTCTGCTCGAGCACTTCTGATCACATTGACTTCTATTTTTCTGATCCTTTGCTTGGCTGGAATTCTGTATGACATGACGCACAGTGATTTTGAACTGAGCTCATGTATATTTCTGATTCCACAAATTATAATTCTCATTGCTGCATTGTTAGTGGCACTATGGGCACTTCACATCGCAAGAATTACCTTAATTCTTTGGCTTATTTTTCTGGTGATTACTGGAATGTTCTATGTGGTTTATCATACTGCTGGTATGGCGACAAACAAGACTGATGGTAGTTTGGATTTTTTGTGGCAAATGGGAAATGAAACAGCCATGCAGAACTCGACAATGTTTGAGAAAGATGGTGAGCAACCAGAGGAATTGTTCAAGGCGGCATTGATATTTGGATATGGTCTCGAATTGGCTTATGCTCTTGTTTTTGGAGGTTCGTTTTAAAAAGTTTTTAACCACTAAAGTATAACTCAAATGTTATTTAGCATATTCTGTAAATTTCAGAAAAAACTGGACTATAGTATTCAAAACAAACTTAAAACAAATTTTCAGTGACCTACCTCCAGTACATCCTTGTCAAACGCCTCCTGAATTACGTCAGTGTTATAAGAGTCGGAGATTCCAATCAGATTTAATATATTATTTTTGGTAAAGGATTTTTCTTCTCTTTGTGAATTATAGCACTTTTTAATGATGTTTTCAAATAATACATGTAGATTTTCTCTTTGAAACTTTGGTTTTTCATGAGATTTTAATTTTGAAATTCTGAAATGATGGAAATTCTGAAAATGTGAAATTCAGAGCTCATATTTTCCTAATGCTTTTGGGAATCATAAATTATACAATTACCCACAAAAAAGCAATCATTCAAACTTTTTTCCAATTAAAATTGATACATAAATGTTCACCTGCAACAGAAGTATTTAAAAGTGAAAACTTTGAAATTACTCTTATCAATGAACACATTTTTTTATTTTTTTGTCTTTTTAATTTTCTTCAATAATGTGTTAACAGAAGACACTGAGTGGGAGTTCGGCTGGTTTGAAACGAAATGCGGTAACTTGGAAATATCTTTTTAGAAAGTTTTAATCGAAAGTTATCATTTACAGAATCTCCTTGCATTTTCAAAAAATACAGTATAAATACTGAAAGTATGAAACTGTTTCCAAAAAATTGTACAGAAGTTTGTGCGTATATTCAATTAGATTCGAATTCAAATGTGTCCGAATCTGAATTGGAAGTTTATTTCAAAAATGTGAAAGTTTTATACGGATTTGTGAGAATTTCAAAAACCAATGTGACAAGCTTAAGATTTTTGAAAAATCTAGAAACTTTGGAATGTGGTGGTTTTTTTTTAGAAATTTCGAGAGACTATTTTTTTTATTCCAGACGAAAATGAAAACTTTCTAGTGGACACCAATCTTCAGATGAAACAAATTGGAATGGAAAACTGGAAATCTACAAATTGTGATATTTTTTTGAGGCTCAATGATAATTTCGAAAAACTGTACTTGCCAAATTTAAAAGTAATTTTTTTAACACAAAAAAATTTCTTAAGTTTTTCTCATAATCTTAAAATTTCGAGATTTAAAAAGTATGAGTTTTTGAAAATGTGAAATTCTGAAATTATATGAAATTTAAAGGTGTTTCTATATTTTATCAATTTCAGAAGTTTCTGAAGTTTTTTTTCCCAATTTTCCGAATTTCTTAAAGATGTTCGAATAATTTTTTCAATTCGAAAGTTTCACGGAATCCTCAGCTTGAAAAAGTTTGAGAAATCCAGTTTGAGAAATTCAGAAATTCAGGTTTTTTCTAAAATTTTCAGAATTTCTCGAAATTTCCAAAAAAATTTTGAATTACCGCAATTTAGAAATCCTTTTTTTCGCAATTTTCTCAATTTTTCAGAGCTTCCCCACAGAAGTATCGATTGAGATATTTGGTTCTTTTTGTTTATCCGTTGAAGAAATTAGCAATTTCTATAGTTCTCCGAATGTTACGCTAAAGAATGTTCCAGATCAATTTTGTCCATTTTCCAATATATCCATAATCCAAGAAGAGCGGATTTGTGTGATTTCACAAAACTTTAGTCTTAAAAATTTTGACGAAACTTGTCAAAGATTATTCGGAGTTTTGAAAATTGGACCTGGAGATGAGAGTTATGTTTATAAATTGAGAAATGTAACATGGATTTATGGACAACTAGAAATTCATAATACAAATTTGGATAAAATTGATTTTTTCGAAAGTTTGGAATATTTTATTACTCTGGGTGGTGAGTTTTTTATTTACCGTATTTGCTCTAATAGAAACTCTGGAAAATTCCGATATTCAGAAAAACCTAATTGCTGACTTTCCGGAATCTCTGAATTTCCGAATTTTTCGGTTTTCAATGGAAATTTCAGAATTTATCTCAATGAAAATCACAAAAAATCCGAAATTGGAAGTATCCATGTTCCCAAAATTGAGAAAAATCCAAGGAAAAAACATAGCACCAATAATTTTCTATGAAAATTTCGAAACTTTTGATAAAAATGTCAAAACTTGTCAAGAATTTATGTTAAGTAGTCGCTCGCTGGAAAGAGAATTTGGATTTATCGACGAACAGCGTTGCGGTAATTTTTCTATGATTTTTATGAACTTAGTTTTCCGATTTCAGAGAAAAATTCCAGTTGGAAAACTCCTGTGTTTTTCATTCTGATCATTTTCTTGTCGGTTCTGCATTTCTAGAACTTGAATCATTCCGCAACCGACCATTTTGCAACCGGACATATTAGAACTGATCGTTTTGAAGCCGTTCTCAATTATCCGATGTTTGTATTTTGCAAAAGGAATTACAGTAATTCTCAATCTCTCAAACATTAATTAATCTGAAAAATTAATTGGAATTTTCCACCTGCTCCCATAAATGTGTAGTTGACTTTCAATCTGCAAATTCATAAAAATGAACAGATTCTCATATTTTTCTGTATTGTTATTTATATTAAATCAAGTTCTCACACAGAATACCGACTCTTGGTTTCAGACAAAATGCGGTAAAATCTCATTGTCAGAAAAAATTCAAAAATTTTCTGAAAAGTTTTCAGAACCTTTGTGTATATTTCATCAGTTTAATATAAATTCTGAAACTTTCAAGTCTTTTCCAAAGAATTGTTCTGAAGTTTGCGCCTACCTTCAAATTGATTCTGACTCAATAATCACTGAATTGGATTTGGAAAATGCGTTTCAAAATGTAAAAATTCTGTTTGGTTATGTGAGAATCCTACACTCGAATTTGAAGAATTTACAATTTTTGAAAAATCTGACCGTTTTGGAATGTGGTATGTAATTTTTCTCTGGATAGGAAACCACAATTTTTAAAATTTTAGAACCAAAAGAAAAAATTTATATTTCTAAAAATAAATTTCTAACTGAAATTGGAATGGAAAACTGGGAATCGACCAATTGTGAAATTGAAATTTCTGATAATCCCTTATTAGAAAAGTTCAATTCTCCTAACCTAAAAGTGAGTAATTTACATTAAAAAACAAAAATATAATTTTTTCAGAATTTTTCGAATCTCGACCTGAATTTCCTTATAAAATTTCAATCTGAAAATTTTTGCCTATCATTCCAGGAAATCACCCATTTCTCAAAAATTCCTTATTTCCAAGTTTTTGCTAGAGAAGTTAATTATTGTGCTTCAAATGTCTCAATGGTGGAAGACGAAAAATTCTGCGAAATTCCAGAAAATGTCGGTCTTAAAAGTTTTGACGAAACGTGTAGGAGAGTACTTGGGATTCTGAAAATTGTACCTGGAGATGAAAATTATGTCTATAAATTGAAAAATATAACATGGATTTATGGAAATCTATTGGTCCAGGAAACAAATTTGACGACTATTGATTTTTTGGATAATCTGGAATACGTGGTTGCTTTGAACTGTAAGATTTTAATTACCTTTTTCACTTTGAAAAACAGCATTTTTTTGTTAGAAATGGTATTTCTAAGATTTAAATAATCCTTTTATGGTTATAAAAGTTATCACTTTTTAGTTATTTAAATCAGAATGTTTAGTTATTAAAATCAGTTTCTTTCAGATCAAGAAAATTACCCAACTATACAACTTCTGAAAAATCAAAACCTGGAAAATGTCAAGTTTCCAAAACTCCACGTTGCGCAGCTCTCCTACTCAGTTGGAATTCCTATCGAGTTTTCTTTGAATCACGAATCGTTGAGTAAAAATCCGAAAGTTTGTTCCGAAATTATGCATCAAATTAATACCACAAATATCGATTTTCTATTGATTGATAGAAAAAATTGCGGTGAGTTAAAACAGATAAATTTTTAGGCAAAATTTAAATTTTCAGAAACGATTCAAAAGGAGTTCGCCAAGAATTGTGAAACGGGAAATCAGTTTTTGTTCATGCTTTTTATTTTCTTTTTTTCAATGTGCTAATTGAATAAATGTAGTTTTTGAAAATGATGAATTTCATATTCTGTAAAATCTTGTCAATTGGTACTTTTAGAAACGATACTTTTTAAAAACACAGGAATTCTGGAAATTCTGTAATTCTCAACATTCGAAAATTTAATATAATAATCCAAAAATTCAGAGTTCAAAAATCCTTAAAATCGTACTTTGATTTCTTCGATATCCATTTTTTTTTCATTTTTCCCTGAAATCATGATTTCATTATCGCCATTTCTATATTCCACCTGCCTTTTGCGTTATCTGAAAAATTTCTTTCTGAAAATCATTTTTCTGAAAAACGAGACTCTTTCTCATATTTTCGATTTTCTTCTCCTTTCAGTGTTCAGATAAAAATTGGTTTCAAACAAAGTACTTTAGGAAAATGTTTTTCTGAAAATCATTTTCTTGAAACATGATACACTTTCTCTTGATCCCATTTTTCTACTCTATTCAGTGTTCAGATGAAAACTGGTTGCAGAAAAAGTGTGGTAGGAAAAAATCGTATATTTTTTGTTTTTCTAAATTGATTTATTTTTAGAACCATCATGCATATTTCAGCAAGGAACCTTAGATTCCAATAATCTTAATTTATTTCCAAAAAATTGTAGTTCCATTTGTGCAGACTTGGTGATTGATGCGGATTCCAATTTAACAGAAAACGAGCTTATTCCAACTTTCAAAAATGTAAAAATTATTTTTGGAACTATTATCATTTCTCGTACAAATCTCACAAGTCTCAAATTTCTAGCTGGATTAGAATCCCTGGAATGTGATGATATTGCGTCGGATCCGGACCTTAATAGTGGGTTTATTGATTTATTGATTTTTAGGTTGTATTTTTTTAATCCAGACCCAAAAAATGGTCTGAAGCTGTATAAGAATTTCGAAATGACGGAAATCGGAATGATCAATTGGACAAATACTTCGTGTAGTGTTCAAATTGAAATGTATGCCAACTTTTCGAATTTTAATGTTCCGAATTTAAAGGTGAGCAATCCAAATATGTGAAAATGTGAGAATCCAAAGACGCCTCAAAATTTTTTAAAACCTTGAAAATTCGAAAAAAAATGTATTTCAATTCCGAGAATCTCCAAACTTCAAAAAGTTGATACAACACTCAAAATTCGAAAACCTAAATTTCCAATTTTTCAGAACTTCAACTCCTCGGATCCGAGCAAACATGAAATTTATATACAGTACGATTATTTTGGAATCATTTCACAAAATTACGTTTGTTTTTCACTAGAAGAAACAAGCAACTTTTATGGTGCTGAAAATGTTGTAATGAGCTACCAAAACCAAAAATATTGTGATCATTTGAGTTCCACAGTTTTTGGTGAAAAATTGTGTAAAATACCGGAAAACGAAAATATCAAAAATTTGGAAGAAAATTGTCAGCGAATTTTTGGAATTCTGAAAATTGGACCTGGAGATGAAAATTTTGTTTACAAACTAAAAAATGTAACTTGGATTTATGGAAAACTGATTATCGAAAATACAACTTTGACAAGTATCGATTTTTTGAACAATTTGGAATTTGTGATAAGTTTTAACGAACAGTGTGAAACATCTTCGTTACAATTTTCGCACAATAAAAATTTGATGGAAATTAGGCTTCCGAATTTGAAGGTATATAATATTTATATTTTTCATAATATTATTTTTTAATATTTTCAGAAAGTGTTAGGAGAATGCAACCCATTTGTGATAACTGGAAATAATGGGAATTTTGCAAACAATTCAAAATTTTGTTGCGAAATTAGACATGTGTTATACAACGCTCCAAGCAATGTGCCTTATGTTGATAGGCAAACTTGTGGTATTTTTTTTTTTGATTTGAGAGCATTTTTGGAAATTAAAAAAAAGATTTTCAGAATTTATTCAAGAAAAATATGGAATGTGTGAAAATTCTGAAGGTTATGTTAATCTTTCGGAATCACTAATTTTTGCAATCTGTGCTTTTTTGTTGTTTTTTTAAATATATTATTCTGAAATTAGCATTGATCTTCCTTATTAATAAAACGCTGTCCGTCCTAATGTCCGTCTGTCAACTTTTGAAAAATTGAAAAATTAGGTTGTTCGGAAAGTCCTTTCCATTTTTAGCGTCAGATTCATTCGATATAAAAAAGGTCAAAACGATGTCAGATAAATTGAAGATAATGACCATTGTTAACAGTGACTATCTGCCAGCGTCCCACCAAATTTTGGATGCCTTCCTTCCAGATCTCCGGTCACAGCGCATTGAAAATCAGGTCAACCCATTTTAGACATCATGCTTTGAAGTGAATTTTTTTCAATCAAGATGTCGGTAGAAATGGCTGGATAGGGGGGTAGTCAGACAGTACAAGGTTTGGACTATACTGTAGATAAGACAGAACTGTTTAGCCGTATCCAGTGAGATCGGTCTCCGTTCTCCTTCCCGCATGAGGTTGCGAATTTAGATTTTGAAAATAAACCTTTGTGTTTCTCTCCAATGGAGATCCACATGGAGTCTGAGTTATGTCACCTAACAAAAATAGGTATCGGTCATAAAAGTGACACCTATATCTGGCAGCTCCCAATACTCCACTCTTTGGTAGTCATCCATGCCGAAAACATCCCATTTTTAACGTTAATTTCATGTTTCGGGACGTCTGGTGGTTGAGTGCCTTTGTCAACCCACTTGGATTGTTGTTTATAGTATTCATACATTACCAATTTATCGCCACTAGTAATGATTTAACAGGCCCACACATGAAACAAAGTTGCTTTGAGCGAAAAGGTGTGATCCATACCTTCCCACTTTTTTTACTTTGCCGAGAGTTCCCAATTTATGGCTTTTTGACGAAAGGCTTGCCACTGATGTACTTGATATATCCCGCACAGCTTGAGACGGGTCCCTTTCAATCCCGGTTTTTAACGCGTCCAAATCTGAGCCCGTATGCTTTTTTGGAGGGTGATTTACACTATTAGACCTCACCAGCATATTGATAAAACGACATAAATTATGAGGCACCAATGGAAACGTGAAAAGAGAATTAGAAGAATTTTAGAATCTAGAAAACATCTGACAAGGGAAGGTTTTTCAGACAACGGTTGAGAATTTGCTCAAAACTTGCATACTTATAGTTTAAGAGATGCTCTATACGATGACGAAAAATTGTTTAGCCCGTTCTCACTCACAGGCTGAAAAACTTTGTCTGAAAATTTTGTCCGATTTCTCCACGCAGCCGATTTCGGCTTCCCCTCCCTCCTCTACCAAATTCGCGTGAAAAGAAAATGTCGGTTGTGTGGTGTTGTGGTAAGAGGTGGCTCATTAGGAGTGAAGTTTGAAATTCGATAATTTAGAAATTCTAAAAATTAGAATTTTCAAAAATTAATTTAACTTGAAATTAAGTAACTAAGGATCTTAAATTCGTACTTTAATTTTTTCAATTTCTTTTCTCATCTTTCTGGAAACATGGTTTCATCATCGCATCAAAAATAACATCAAAAATTTGGAAGAAAATTGTCAGCGAATTTTTGGAATTCTAAAAATCGGACCTGGAGATGAAAAATTTGTTTACAAACTAAAAAATGTAACTTGGATTTATGGACAACTGATTGTTGAAAACACAAACCTGACCTCAATTAATTTTTTGAACAATTTGGGATTTGTGATAAGCTTTGACAACTATTGGAAAAGATCGTCATTACAAATATTGCAAAACAAAAATTTGATGGAAATTAAGCTTCCGAATTTGAAGGTATATATCTTATAGTTTTCATTATTTAGATGTTTTTAAAAATATTTCCAGAAAGTGTTAGGAGGATACAACCCATTTGTGATAACTGGAAATAATGGAAATTTTGCAAACTTTTCAAAAATTTGTAGCGAAATTAGACATGTGTTATACAAAGCTCCAAGCAATGTGCCTTATGTTGATAGGCAAACTTGTGGTAATTTTTTACAGTTTTTTTTTAACTTTTGAAAATCGTGTGTTTCAGAAGCGATTCAAAAAAAAAATATGGAGCGTGTGCAAATTCTGGAAATTCTGAAAGTTTTTCGAAATCGTTAATTTTTTTCAGTTTTGTATTTTTGTTTTTTTTTTGAATAAATTTTCAGAACGTTAAATAATTATTATTTCAAACACTCATTCAATCCAATTAGAAGCCCTGACAGAGAACTCAAATCTACACTCATGAGAAATTATTGTAAAATATTTCACGTTAAAGTTCTGAGGCATTAATGGGTACGTTGAAAGATCCAGAAGAATTTTCGATGAGTTGTTCGGTGGGCCAGATACTACTGTAGCGTTGCAGGGTTCCTGGAAATTTCAAGTTTTTTGAAATTTTGGGTAAAAATCAAAATTTACAGTATCCATGCGCACGTTGTCCATCAAAATTCCAACCGAGTTAAAATTCACAAATTCCACTGCTCGATTCCCCAAGAGGTAGAAATAATCGTCTGTTTGTTTAATTGCCGATGATGTTAAACTAGTGAACTGGAATTTTTTGAGTTTTGAATGTTTCAAAAATTCAAATTTTTGATAAACTTACAGGTGCCGCCTCAGAAATTGGGTTTAAAACAAATTGAAAGTATAATTCGTCAAAACTGACAATAGTCACAGATTTGGAAGTTGTGGTTAGGCGACTTTTGTGTAAAAGATCGTCCACTTGATAAACTTGTACTTGATTTTCAATTGTTCCATCAATGACGTAGCAGTTGGTGTAGCCATCGAAACTGTTTTGATCCGTAGCAAGAGTTACGAGAATCTGAAAAAATAATATTGAAAATATTGGATTCTGGTGAATCCAAATTCAAACCTTACCGGCTCAGTTCCAGTATAAGTCACTGAATTAAAAAATCGGGAACTATCCCCTATCGCTGTGACATCCACAAAATTCATCTCTCCTCCTGTTTTCATTTTTAAATTATCTCCAATTATCGCGGCATGATATTGTACAGTAATCTCAAATTGTGAGTTCATTTGAACACTTTTAGTGACCACTTGTACACTCATTTGTGATCCAGGTACCATTTTAAATGAGCGCAGAAAATCGGAACTGCTGAAATTTTTTTTTGAATTTTCAAACAATTTCAATATAATAACCTGGTGATTTTGACTAGTTTTCCTGTGGTTTCAGTGACTAGCATGAAATCATTAACGCCTTTCAGACCATTCAAAACTGTTACAACTGCATATAAGCCATCTGTAGAATTCGTGGGAACAGAAATCTGAAATTAAATAATACATAATGCTGAACATTAAAAATTGAGAACTTTACATTATAAACACAATTAAAATTGGCAGGAATTGTTTGCAATGAACCATCCTTGCCCGGAATATAAGTTGTGCTATCATCGAAAATTACAGAATCCGGAATTTGAATGCATTCTAAAATTTAGTTAAAGTGGTTAATTCGTCAATTAACAAACCTAACGCATTAATAGGGTTAATTGAAAATGAAAGAATGAAAAAACATGCATAGAAATATTTGTTCATGTTTGGGGAGAAGTGAAAGTGATGATTTTTTTGTGCACCGAATTTTTATTAGTGTAGAATATTGTTGATAAATGTCAACTGATAGAATTGTAATCATAATCATATATGTCGAGTTTGGTCAAAAATCATTAGCTGAAGGAAACAGAAAGTAAAAACGTACTTTCAGTTGATCTGCGGCATGATCATTCACATAATTTTTTAAAAAATTCTTAGTTTTTCAGATATTCGTCGATTTCTGGAAGTCCCCCTTTTTTGGTCAGTTTTTTACTGAATTCGTGAAAAAAGGTGTCTTTCAGAAGTCGGTCAATAGCTGAAAAAATAGGAATTTTTCGAAAATTTCGTAAATTCAAAGATTTCAATCTAGGTCTGTTTTACACCCTTCAAAATTTTTTAAGTGACCGGAGACTTGATAGCCGAGTTCAAGACTCCTGAAAATGGTCAAAATTACCAAAATTCAACTGAAAAACACATTTTTGTGCATGTCATTAACCGGTACTGTATGAATGCGAAAATTTTATTCAATTAGAAGATCGAAGCGTAAACTCAAAATTACAACCATAAGAAACAACTGTAAGATATTTTACATTAAAGATTTGAGGCTTGGTTGGATTGGAATCAAGACTCAAAAGAACTTTTGATTCTGCGTTTGGTGGTCCATTTACAACTATAGCTCGACATGGCCACTGAAATTTGTTTTTTTTTTCTTTGTTTTTGGAATTTGAACTCTATACCGTTATAACCTTGACCACCTCCATGACAATTCCAACAGAATCGAAATTCACAAATTCGTAGGCATCGTTGTTGGTTGTATAATAAACTTCACTGGTATTAGTGACAGGCACTGCATATAGGTCGTCGAACTGAATTAATTTTTCAGTTTTAAAAACTTTTTAGAATCATGCATGTTCGAAGATTTCGAATTTTGGGAACTCCAAAAATTTAAAATATGAAATATTTTAGTCCGATGGGATGTTGCTAGTTTACCTGTTGAACTTCAGAAACTGGATTCAGGACGACTTGAATCACTTTTTCTTGCAAACTGACAATTGTTAAGTGATGGGCAATGGTTGTGAAATCTCGGTCTTTGTCCGGAGCGAAATCATCAACTTCATAGATTTTTCGTTGATTTTCAAATGTGCCATCAATGAAATAGCAGGTGTCGTATACATTAGAGTCGTAATGATAGTCAAACTCGGTTCCGGCAAGAGTTAAAACGATCTGGAATTTATTTTTTGAAGGTTTTCAAACTTGGTCACAACTTGGTCATTTTTTGAAATTCTTTAAATGTTGATTCAAACAGAAACTTCTAATTTTATTAGAGTTTTGACTTACATGCTCCATGGAAACATATGTCACAGAGCTGAATAAATCAGAACCATGATTTATGGTCTTCACATCCAAATAATTCATTTCCCCTCCTGTTTTCATCTGAACTTTTGGTCCAA